AGTGTGGAGCTGACGAGAGGGCTGCAGAGTGAAATAGGAGGGGAGGAGGTGAAAAGGGTGATAAAAATGGTGATGGAGGAGAAGGGGAAAGGAGGGGAAATGAGGAAGAAGGCGGCGGAGATTGCAGAGCGGATAGCGGCGGCGACGAATGACGAAGACGAAGGAGATGATAAGGGATCGTCGATTCAGGCGCTGGATGATTTTGTTTCTGCTGTTGTTAGGAAGCGAAGGGAGATTCGCACCTAGGTCTCAGTGGCGTTTTCCTTTCTTTTATAAATGGATGTGTGATGGTATTTTATTAAACTTATTTTATGGGGATGGCCCAATGGGCCAACGGCATTTTTTATCTGAGGCTCTACCAATTTCAGCAGGCCACATAATTTCCACCTATATTAGTAAAGAAGATTACAAATGCTAATTAGTTCCATAGACAACCTCAAAGGTTTAATCACCGGGAGCATACCTCACGCCAAGTCCTGATAGATGTGTGCGTTATCTAGATAAATTTTACATTGACAAAATATAGAAGAGATGTTGATTATATAAGTCAACATTCATTAATTCTAATATGTTTCGAAATTATGGTTAGGTTAAATGGATAATATCATTTGTAAATTCGATCATTACAATTGATATTAGAATATAAGTGTTGTTTTACAAATTAGATTTAAAGTTTAATTTTTTTGTATATACCATATCAATATAAAAGATACATCTTTAAAATCGTTCGAAGAGAAATTAATTTTAAATTATATATAAATTGACTTAAAAACATGCTTACTGTTAAAAAAAAGTTTAGCTTGATAGACCCGATTCACGGAGTAATGCATGGTAATTGTTTTATAACAGATTGCATTTGTTACGGTGACACTGTGTTTAAGATGACAAAGTTCATAATTGCCACGACTATTTACTTGCTATCACTATGGCTGGCAAATAGCAATTCTTTCAAGGCAGCATCATCATGGTGGAGGGAATGCAGCTGTAATGTTCCAAAATTGCACAATTATTACACAGTCAACTGTTGTATTTATTAGTATAGTGTTTCTTCTCTTGAAGATCAAATTTCCAATATTGCATTCCGCGTACAGACAAAAAAGGAACATTTTCTCTATTACAGTATGCATAGATTGAGAGAGGCAGGGAAAAGGAGAAGAAATTTTTTTTTTACTTAGTTACCAAAAAATTAGTGGTGAAAGGAGGAAAAAAAATTTTTTTTTCTTTCAATTTATTTATTTATTTAAATAAAAAGAAAAAGGAGAAGGGAAATGGAGGAGAATGGAGGGCTACAATTCTCCTCCCCTCCCCTCCTTTCTCCTCCCCCTCATTGCCCTCAACTCAAATATTCAGTCAATCTTCAATGTGTTTAATTTAGCTAATTTTAACCATTTTTTGTTTTTATAAACAATTAGCTAAAATTTTTAAATACATTATTCTATAGATTAATTTTAAACTCTTAAATAATAAAAATTAATTATT